TCAGATTTCCCTCTTCCAAGAAAAAGTGGAAAGAGGAAACAACTTTCAACACCTATTACTATTTATTAGTGTTGCCTACTCTAGAATTTCATGTAAATAGAGCTAAATACACTATATTCTTTCATTCCTAGTTTCTTCTGTCTATAAAATTTGTTCGTCTTGTTGTATAAATAGTATTGTTCCTTTTTGTTGCTCTATTGTCTTTCATTACATTACTATACCAAATTTGTTTTGGAGACAGTCCTCCATTGGTGGACATTGGACTACTACTGCTTATGAACAGGTTGCTATGGACATTCTTTTTTTTTTTTTTTTTTTTTTTTTATAGAATGTTTTTTTTTTATTTATATTTTTTTTTTTTTTTTTTGTTGTTGTTTATGCACTATGGACATTCTTATAAAAGTTGTTGTATGAAAATAAAATCTTTTTTTTTTTTTAAATAGAGGCATGTTTTATTTATTTATTTATTTGTTTGTTTGTTTGTTTTGTTTATACATGCACTGGGTATAGTCAGAAGTGCGGGAGGGTGAGAGAATTCACCAGAGCCAGAGCGGGGAGCAGAGCAGGCAGAAGGACCGGAGTACACTGCTGAGGGGAGCAGCGGGCAGCAGGAGAGGTCTGCGCGCCATGCGGGACCCTCCTCCGGTGGCCGGGGAGCAGCCGGGGATCGAACCGGCGCCGCAGAGGCCGCGGGCAACATCGCAACCCAGCGCTCAACCGCTGCGCCACCGGGGAGGCCCAAAATAAATAAAATCTTTAAAAAAAATTAAAAGGGCTTCCCCAGTGGTGCAGAGGGTTGAGCGCAGTGCTGTGAAGCTGTTTGCAGCCTCTGCAGCACCAGTTCAATTCCCAGCCAGCCAGGGAGATACCCACATGGCGTGGCAGACCTCTCCTGTCTCGCCTGCTGCTCCCCTTAGCAGTGTATTTCAGTCAGTCTGCCTGTTCTGTTCCCCGCTCTGTCTCGTGAATCCGCTCACCCTCCAACGCCAATGGCCTGTACCCCAGTTCTTGTATAAATAAAATCTTTTTTAAAAATTAAAAAAAAAAAGTTGTTGTATGGGCATATAACTTTGGATAATTACCTAGAAATGGAATTGCTGGGTAACAGAGTTTAATTTTGTAAGTAATTGTTCTCCTAAGCTGTTGTATCATTTTATACTCCCACCAGCAATAAGTGAGAATACTAGTTGCTTCATATCTTTGCTACTATTTAGTATGCTCAATCTTTTCAATTTTAGTCATTTTATTGGATATGCAATGTTATCTCATCATGGTTTTTAATTTGCATTTCTCTAATGACTATTAATGTTAACTAATTTTTTATGTGCTTGTTGACCATTTATGTATCTCCTTTTGTGAAGTGTCTGCTTCCAGTCTTTTGTAGACTGTTAAACAGAATGATTGTCTTTATTGCTGAATTTAAATTTGTCTTTGGAATGTCATTTGTTTCCATATATTCTACTGCTAACAGTGTATATCAGACTAAATGTATTAGTAGTATCTCGAACAGCACATTTGAAATTTAAAGTGTAATTTCTTAGTTGGGAACCAGAACTCTTTATTGCTGTCAATGGCATCACGCGCATTCTCCAATCATATTTGCTTTGTATCCTAACTCGATGTTTTCCTCTTGACGGTCAGTAAGAACACTTTCAGGTAGAGTTGTTTATCAAGGTATAGGTTCTGAGATTGTGTTGTTCAATTTGGACTGTGCCACTTATTTACTGTGTAACTCTGGATAAAATACTGAATGTCAGTCCCTATCTTGTAACAGTTTATGTGAGATTTAAGTCAGTAAATTGTGCAAAATACTTTAAATAGTAACCAGGGCCTGCCTGGTGGCGCAAAGGGTTAAGTCTCAGCACTATGAAGCTATCAGCAGCCACTGCAGCATGAGTTTGATCCCCTGCCAGGGAGCTGACCCACATTGTGCAGCAGACCTCTCCTGTCTCTCCCGCTGCTCCCCTTAGCAGTGTATTTCAGTCAATCCGCCTGTTCTGCTCCCCTCTCTGTCTCTGGTGAATCCTCTCACCCCCTCCCCCACACCTCTGGCTTATACCCTAGATCTTGTATATATAAATAAATAAAATAAATCCTAAAAAATTAAATACGAACCACCAAAAAGGGAGTGCTCAATGAACAGTACTGATTGTTATTATCAAAATTGGAAAGGCCTTTTTAAAAAAAGATTTATTTATCAGCAGGTGAGAAAGGAGAGTCTGCTGTGCCATGTGGGTCAGCTTCCTGGCTGGGATAGAACTCATGCTGCAGTGGCTGGTGATAGCTTGATAGTGCTGAGACTTTAACCCCTGAGCTACCAGGGAGCCCTGGAAAGGCCTGTTGACTAAAATCTCTTTCATGATTCTGACAACTAACATCTTCACCTAAGTATTTAGTCTCATACATAAACAAATAAAATAGTCTGCTAAACAGCCTCTGTTCTCCTTTTCTAATTCAGATTACATACCACAGCTGGATTTAGCTTCTTTAAAAAAATCTTTATCCACATCATCACCTTTGGTTTATTATCAGCTTTTGGTTCCCTAATGACAACTCTAAAAAATAACCTTTAACCCTTATCCAAACACTCAAGGTCCTTACACACCTCTCTGAACATATGACTTTTATATCCAGGAGAAAGAATCCAAAAGGATTTAAAGGATTATGCCAAAAATAGGAAGAAGGCAGAGGAGCAAGGTAAGTATATTACTGAGGGAAATGCAGGTAAATCCAAACTAATCAGCTAAAAGGAGTGAAAGTGGTTGCCTTTGAGGAAGGGAAAATGGGAGTGGGGAGAAGAATGAGAAACTGATATTTTTGCTAATAAATCTTGCAGGATCATTTGGTTTCTTAAAATAGTAACAATACATATTAAACTTTTATAAAAATAAAAACATGTAAGAAAGAAAGATACAAAGGAAGGATGAACGGCAGGAAGGAGGGTTGGTTATTAACTGAAGCAAGAAGTACACTGTGCAATTTGGTTGTTCATACATTGACCTATGTAAGGAGTAACTGGCACATTCATTTACTTAGAGGAGTTAGCCTATTTGTAGCCTGAGGAGTTTGAATTTTATCCAATAAGCAACAGGAAGTTAAGTGAAGGTTAAGAAACAAGGCAATAACATAATAAAAATATATTCTGGGAAGATGAAGCAAGAGTTATATCAGAAATGTACTTGACTGGGAAAAATTAGGGATGATAAAACATGAGGTCTTCACTAATTGAGACATGAGGTGATGAAAGCCTAGATCAGGGTGATGATTGTGGAAACAGAAGGATTTAATTTCAAGCCATTTTTCAAGAACACGAGGTATGGTTTGCTGGCCAACTAAATATGAAACTAAGAGAATAAAAAGAAAAAAAAGGAACACAATGTCCTCCAGCATAAAGTAGGAACTAAAGGAATACTTATAAAGTTAAATAAAGAGTAATTCCAAAGTTACGAACATGAAAGATTAAACCTTAACATGTAGTTTTGAATACATCGTTCGAATACTATTCATGGAGTTCTTTTTCATCTAAGTCTCCAAATGACATAAAACATTTTGGGCTCAGAATTCACTTAAAATCTTGTATATATTTTCCATTATTTGCTTAGTGTCCCATGGACTGCATCTTTTCAATTCTGTTACACTTCCCTCACGGGTTCCATGGCTGAGGAAGCAGACTGGTAATCTACCAGACTGCTCTATGCTTGCACCTATTTGAACTTAAAAGTTTATTCTGTCTTGCTATCATTTTTACCCCAGATATTATGCATTAAAAGTAAATGCTATACAATAAAAATCCCAAAATTATGCTTCAACTTAAAAAAAAACAATGTGACACAAACTTTATCAAAGGTTTTAGCAAGAAAAAGCAATTAAGAACATTTCATTTTCATAAAAATTACATCTAACAAGTAACGGCTATTTCTAATTTACTGCTAAAACTATAGTCTGATACTTCAAAAGTATTTGAATGGTAGAGACTTAAAAATACTTCCCTTGATTGCACTAGTCCTTAACACCTCCCCACTTCTTCCTCCCTTTTTTCAGCAGAAATCTTTTAAAGATTTGTTTATTTTGCTTTCTCCATTTTTCTTCTCTCATTTGCTCTTAAACTCCATATTTCTAACTCGGTGGCCCACTTTCTTGTTCCAATAAAACTGCTCTAAGCAACTGCCAAATACAATGGACTGTGGTAGAGAACTTATGGGTGGTGGGTGTGGTGTGGTGACATATATCTGAGGAGGTGTGACCCTATACCTCTGAATCATGTACAGTGTTGTAACCAATGCCACCTAAAATAAATAAATAGTCTAAATTTCATTTTGGGCAGTTGTTTTTGTCTTTAAGTTCACCAATTTTTTACTCTGCAATGTCTAATCTGAACTTTTATCCAGTGTATTTTTCATCTCAGACAGAGTTTTCAGCTCTATAAACTTGACTAGGACCCTTTCTTTAAATATATCTTCCATGTCTTTACTTAGTTTTTTTTTTTTTTAAAGAGAAAGGAACCACGTCCTAGAAAGGTTTAGTGACCTGTGTGAGGTCTTCAGTTATGAGCTCATGACAGTGTAAGAGCCACAATGACAGTGACTGTGCTATTTAGGTCACCATTGTATCCCCAATACTGAGTACAACGCCTGGGACACAGGAGGAGCTCAATAAATATTTGTTGATTGATCTTTCACCCGGAGAGAAAGATAAAAAGGTATCTTCAGACAAAAAGAAACAAAATCTTTCCTATGATATGACTGAAAGTTTCTCCCTATCTTTAATTCTCCAAACTCTTTAACACAGACAACTATGCAGTAGTTTTAATATTACAAATACAAGAGAATAAATCATATTCCAGGTTTGCAACTTACTAGTAGTTTTATTATATTCTAATGATAAAAAAATTTTAATTCAGGCTACCAACTTTTAAACAAGCAGGAGAATAAACAGAAAATATCCTATTCATGAAGATAAATGACATTTTCAAATTTTAAAAAGTTAAAGAAAAAACTTACCAAAAATTTCTCCATTTTTGGCATATTCTGTCACAAGGTACAGCATACTTTTGGTCTCCATTACCTATTTAGAAATAATTCCGTATTAGTGCAACAGTAAAGGACTGCAATCATCCCAATTTTCTATGGTGTTATCTAAATAAAAATGACTAACAATAGAGTAGAAGTTGTGAGCAGTTCAGAAGCTAGAGAAGTTTACAAGACTGACAATATCTCTATACTAACTTTTTTTTGTGGAAAATCTAGTCTGCTCGTACCAGTGTGATGCTTGGTTCAGCAGCTGCAAGAGCACTGCCCAGAAATGCAGAATCTCAGGACCCACCCTAGACCAAGTTAATCAAAACTTATGATTTTGACAAAATTTCCAGGTGATTTTTATAGATATTCAAGTTTGAGAGAAATATTAACATACGTAATAGGAGTTCTTAACATTTCACTACTTTTCTAGCTTTGTGCTGGCCTCTGATTAAGAATAACAGGGCTCATTATATCTGGCCTATATAGCCTAGCTAATCTAGAAGAATGCATTATTCCTCCTACTATACTTTAATATTGTCACAAAGCACTGCCATTTGAAAATATTGTTCAAAAGCTTCTTCACAGCGCCACTGCTATTCCCTTTATTTAAATTAGTTTTCTAGGTTTAGAAATGAAGTGTCATTGTCACAAACTTGATATTGCAAACCATACTGAAATGAATTGATAGATTCAAAATGAGTGAATTTTAGGTTGCTTCTCTGTCACTCTCACCTTCTTATATATTGCTATATTTAAGTGCGATCTACTGAAAGGCTGAAAAGGAATTTTGCTCTAATCATAGTTTAGGTCTATTCCCTATCAGGCCAGAAAACTGAGAACTATCTACAAATTGGGACAAGTCAATGTTAACTGATTATTTGGTTTGAATGATGACAGAATTATTATGTGAATAATGGTACTTTTAACCTCAGTTTGGTTATGGTTCATCAGAGGCTTTTAAGGATGTGCTTACTTTCTTATAGTTTTCTCTTGGGGAATTAAAAAAGAAAAAGCTTAAAGGGACAAATTCAGTGATACAGATTTGACCAAAGAGGCCCTGTGAGGTTTTAGAGTTTTAGGAATTGATTTGAATGGCACTCCACTCTCTCTCACTCTGATAATTTGAATAGTCTCCAATGCTGCACACCTTTTAATTTTATTTATTTATTTATTTGCTGCACACCTTTTTAATTGCAAATACCTATCAATAAAAAGTTGTTGAGTCAAATACACGAGTCATGTAGATATATATGCATGTACTTGTACACACACACTTACACACATGTCTTTGTACCTATGTGCACATAAATACAGAGGCATAATTGCATACTTGTCCTACTGTGTAAGTACATTCTGTATATTATACAATTCACATATAAAAAATAAACATAAGTTGAATTTTCTAACAATTCTAATCTTTTCTTACTATCCCCCACAGCACATATGTGCTTTAAACCATTTGAGTGCTAGTCCTACCCATCTCTGGGAAAAAAATGGTTCAGAGTTGTCAACTAATTTCTGTGGTATAAAGACTCATATCATTGTCACTGATTTTGAGCTACTAACATGATATTAATTGGTTGGTAAGACCTCTGAAAATTCAGCAGTTCTTTCTCACAAGCCAGTACAGGCAGAGTCTGGCATACCAGGGCACACACATCATACTTTGGAGATCAAAGTCATAGTAAGTATACTGCAATAGTTTAAAAATAGTTCTCCAATATAAAAATTCTACATATTAATGAACAGAAGTGTAAAGAAGTTTTACACAAAATTATAACTTTTAGACATGAATTACACTTAAAAAATCTGAGAAAATCTTCCTTTCAAAAACATGGCTTATACATGAAATGGGTGCAGTTCATTTTATAAAAATTATGTCTTAACAAAGTTGATTTTAAAAAAAAACAGCTCATTTGCTTTATTTGACAAAAATAACCCAAACAAAATGTAAGATTTGGCTCTAGGTATTATAAAGTATGCCAGTGAAGTAATATACTACTTTAACCTTTGTATTTCATAAGATAGAATTAGTTTATTTTTTAAAGAAGCAAAATTAGCATTTCCTCATTAAGATGCCACCAACAGGTATAAGTAGAGTGTTAAAAATGAGTAAGTGCCAACTTTTTAAATAAATGACTTCCAAATTTAAGACAGTAGTTTTTTGATTTTGTATTTAAATGTAAAAGAGTGGACATCTGCGGTATACTAAAGACATGTAAGTACTCTTTTTTGAGATAAAAAAAGACACTGATGATGCAAACTGAAAACTGATAATGCAAAGTAGATGCTGGAGAAGCATGAAGAGGTACAAGGTTAAGTAAAGCATACCTGATAAAGTTTGATTATGTGAGGGTGATCTAAGAGTTTCATTATTTGTACTTCTCGGTAGATTTTCTCAAGGTTCACTGCATCCAGCTGAGATTTGTCTATTATTTTTATTGCCACCTGCATCCCAGATACAAATAAATACAATTAGTATATAATAGTTAACATTTTCCAATTAAGTATCTTAAAAAATAAGTTAAGACTTTGCTGTAGATACCTACGGTAATGCTGGTAACTTGTTTAAAGTCAATGCTTATTCAATCCACAAATATCTGTTAGACATTTATCATGTATAAGGTTCAGAGGTAGAGGAGTCAGCCTGTGAAACTACCTTAATAAAATGTTTTTCTTTTATTACTACTGTAATGTCTCCTTATTCCATTTAAAAACCAAAGAAATAAAATCTCAGTGGTTGCAACTTGTTATGCTACCACACAATACCTATGAGCAAATGATCAGTGAAGTGGAAGTTTCAATCGTACCGTAATATGATTTTTTTCTAGAAAAGCAAGTAATAGGTTACAAAAAACACAGGCACATCTTTCTGGGAAAAAAAAAAAAGTGATTACAAAGTCTTAAAAATCAAAGTGCAAAAATTCAAATGCTTGTAATTACACTAACTTAATTTCTTTCTTTCTTTTTTAAAATCTATTAATTCTTTGATCCAATCTTGTTTTTTGTTGTGTTTTAAAAATATGTTTATTTTATACAAGAGCTGTGGCACAGCCAGAGGTGCGGGAAGGTGAGAGGATTCACCAGAGATACAGCAGGGAGCAGAACAGGCAGAGGGACCGAAATACACTGCTGAGGGGAGCAGCGGGCATGACAGGAGAGGTCTGCCCACCATGTGGGAATCTCCCTGGCTGGTCAGGAATTGAACCCGTGCTGCAGAGGCTGCGGTCAGCTTTACAGTGCTATGCTCAACCTGCTGTGCCACCGGGGAGGCCCACTAACTTAATTTCTTAAAGGAATTTGATTTTCAAAAAATGTGGCCTCTTCCTCACATAACTAAACATAACTAGGTTAATAATTTGAATATGAGTAACTAGGTATTTATAAATAAACAATCACATATTTTTCCAATCACCAAAAAGAACTGATTTTTAAAAATTGGCAGCTATCTGGTTGAAAATACAGATTCAGATTTAAATAAAAAATTTCAGGTAACTGGGAACCACTAAGTCTTTCCTGACAGCTGTTCTGTCCTCTACTATTTTCCTCTTAGAGCTCTACCTTAAGATTTCCTTCTTATCTTCCTCTAGTTCTATAATACTTTGCTGTCCACAGTTTGTTTCCTGATTTGAATGAGTTGTAACTGACAAAAGAACCCAAACTTCCAAGGGGAAATCAGATTACTAAATATAAGTAAAATTAAATTTATTGTCTAAGAAAGGGTATGATAGTAGCTCCTCCTCTGGGCAGCGAAGTGCATAGGTTTAGCAGTAACTATTTTCGTAATATCAGGTGGTATTTTATTGACTTTGATAATGAAAATATTCTGGCAAGTAAAAGGTGTAAAACTTTGGCATATAAGTAGATTAATTTGCGATTAGAGACATTATTGGACCACCTCAAACCTAAAGAGATCCCCCCCTTGTCAAGTTAAAACTACGACAGAATACATACAGTACTTTAAAAAAAAAAAAGCATACAATACTATCAGTCACTTTGGGTAACAGCTATCAGATAGAAAGATAAGTGTATACTTAAATTTCTTCAATATTCCTTAGAAAGATAAAATGGAGTTTCACAGGTACACATATTTTGAAGAAAATGCCTTACCCTACAATTTCTGGAGTGCATCAAGATACCAGCACCCTTCCCCCAACAAAGGATCCTCCTGATCCAAAAAAAATGGATTGGAATCATCAAATAAATAGAAAAAGAACTGGGGAGAAAATAATCATGCATTTTAAAATCTACCATGATCCCCATCACTGAGAAAAAAATTTATTATATAAAATATCCTGAATATCACATTTAATGCTGAAGAAAAGGTTTGGATACTAAATAACAATTAATGTAATGTAACCCTAAGAAATATTTCTTACACTCTTTTGGAACTTGGGCCTTAAACAATGAAAAAGTGAAAAATATGTTATCTAACTAAACTTTCATAATAAAAAGCTATAAACCTCAAAAAATCTCATAAGAGATTATATTTAATTCCTCAATTTTCTCTTAGGTCACAAACGATATATGTTAAAAATATATTTTATAAATTTACATACTAACACAAAAATATATATTATATACAGATATATATGACACAAATGTATATATATTATAAGTGTGTGCATGTGTATATACATATATATATCATTAGTTAGCCCTTGTTTGTAAAACTGCTATAGGAGGATTATGAAAAAGCAAAGTACTTAAAGAAAAGAGCACATGTTAGCAGCTTCCTTATAATAGTTAGGGCTAGTGCAACTGCTTTAACAAGTAAAATCCAAAATGATTTAAAGACAACATAAGCTTACTTTCTAGCTCATGTAGTAGAAATGGATGGGTAAAGTTGGCAGGTGGCCCTCTTCCAGGCAAGTGAGAGTTTCAAGGTGGCTTTACTACGTCACAGGGGCTGGAATGATTACCCTGACGGTTGTCTGTGGTCCAGCTAGCCAGAGAAGAAAAGCCTGGGAGAGCCCTCCTGTAAGGTTTTATAGGTTAGGCCAGGAAGTGGCACATATTATTTCTCTTCAATCTACTGGAAAACTCAGTCATATGCTCATACCTAATACAAGGGAGGCCAAGAAAAAGTCTAGTTGTAAGCTAGGGAAGAGGTGGAAACAGTGGAGTTTTGGCAATCATTTAGCAGTCTCTGCTAAACTCCTCCAGATAATTTAACAACAGACTCTTCCTAACACTTCCCAGAGATATAATGATGATGATAAGGAGGATGACTTTCACAACTGCACAGCACTTTAGTGAGATACCTTATATATTTTATCTCATCTGTATCCTAATGCCGTGCAGTAAATAAAACAAACAATATGGCCATGTCTATGAAAACTGAGGCTCAAAAAGTGCTTCATAATCTGCAAAGAGCACAAATTAATTAATGGGGAAAAACCACGGGCCTTCTAACTCCAAGTTCAATCTCCTCACCATTTCAAAGAGCCTATTATTCCCACATTCACTGGGCACCTGTTGTGTGCCTGAAATCATATCTGAGAATCAAAAATGAACAAGATCTGATTCCTAACCTCAAGGAATTGGTCTGTGAGAATAAAGAACTCTTTCGGAAAACAAATTTCATCAACCTGTATTTTGGGATTTCCCTAAATGGTGTACAAAAGTCCCAACTTAGAAAGGGTTGTGCTCTAAAAGTTCGCTTTAAAGATACCTATGAACTTAGATTTCTGAGAACTTATTCTCTATATCCTTCCCCTTAGCTCCAAAATCTACAAGGCCAAGACAAAGTCAAGCAAGGGATTCTATAATCAAAGATCCCTTTTTCTTTATTGTTTATATTATTCAATCCTCTAATTCTGAATTATGCAACCATTATCTTTAAAAATTCCTTCAGTAAATTTATAGGAAGATAAAAAAATTAACATTCAATTAAAAAAGTCAGGATATCAGTGCAGTCACAACACAAGTTGTGTACAGAAAGAGATCAGTAAAAATTAGATACAAATATGGCAAAAATGTTATCAGTGAGTGAAAAATCATGGATTATAGATTATTTTCATCCTGTCCAATGAGTACAAATTAGATGAAATGGAGTTATATTTGTCAAGTATGCTAACTTCTCATCTGTGAAATATTAGCCATTTTCATGATCATCTCTAAAATGGCCTCACTAATTTAGAAGATTTAATTATTAAGAAAATCGCAGGCACAGAAATATTTCCAACACTGTTAAGTAAAAAGCAATATAGTAAAATTAATAACCATGCAAAATGCAAATCTGCAAGGAAGACAATGAGTTAAATGTAAGAGTAGAGATGAAAATAGTTTTAAATTGATGGGTAATTGAAATTTTTTCATTTTTCAAAATGTAATTTAATGGTAACGTTAGCGTTTTAATAATTAAAAAAAACTATTTCACTTCTCATAAAGGAAATATTAATCTCATGCATTTAAAGATATACATACCAAAGTGGTTTTTGGTGACTTTATAAGGATGTTATGCAGCAAGACCTATTCTTCCAGCAACAAATCAGAAAGAATTACCAGGTTGCTGTTTACTACTTATACACTAATTTTATACTGTCCTTTTGAAATATCAAGAAGCATTATCTTTACCATACAATTAGATCTCTGAAGTTAAAAGAATAAATGCACTTTTCAAGTTAATATGTCAAGTCACAGGTAGAATAAATACCGGTCTATTATTTGATTGAAGTGGGAGTGTGAGTGTTCTATAATAAAAGGGTTTATGAACACAGGAAAAGTCGGTAGTGAAACTGACTGGACTTCTCTAGTTAGCAAATGTCATTATACCTCTATAGCCATAAAAATTGAGCTGAGAATCCTTAAAACTATAAAAGAAGTGATTTTAAAAGAAATGTCTATCCTAAAATTTTAAACAAATCAATAAAGAATAACTACATTTTAAAAATGGGTCAAAGAACAAAAAAGCAAGTCACAAAAGAAATGTTAACAGTCACAGTATAAATTTGTGTAAAGAAAAGCAAACTAAATAAAAACATTATTTTTTCCCATCAAGCTTAGAAAGATTTAAAAAATGACATTCTTGGTAAATATGCATTATTCCTGGTGTAAATTAAGTAAGTTCCTCTTTTTCAGAGAGTTATTTGGCTCCTCCTCATGCCATAAGATATGGATGGAAGAACAGACTCTTTGACTCAAGAATTTGGTGCACAAGAATGTATATATAGGGAATGTCTTATGAAACATTATTTTAGTAAGAGAAACAGCAGGAAAGAGAAATAATCTAAATTTCAACAATAAGAGAACAGTTAAGCAAAACAGATGTTCCTATGACAGATAATATTTAGCCATCCTTTAGAGAGTTTTTCTATTTAAGACATGGAGAAATGTTAACACATTTAGTGACTATTATAAAAGACATCAATTTTATTACTTACGTGGAAAATATATGTGAATAACTAAAAGGCTATGTATTAGCTATGTATTATCAATGTTGTGTC